CGAGGAGGGTGGGGGGGGGGGGGAGGCAAGTGCCCTCCCTGCCCTGCTCCCTGCGGGCGGTGACGATGGAGCGGGGGAGAAAGAGGGGCACTCCTCCTGTCCCCCCACAGCCACCACGTGGGCCTGGGCCCGCTGCTCACCCCCACCATGGAGGCCAACTTCTTCCTATCCTTGGGCCTGATCCTCTCCTGCACTCCCTGTATTGGGCCTGGGCCCACTCCTCCTCCTGCCACTGCAGTGGGGAAGGGGGGAGCAGGCCCACACCCCAAGAAGCAGGAGGGAAGGGGAGTCCGGGCCCAGACAGGGGAGGGGGGCACAGGGCTCCACCCCTGCCTGCTCCCCGCCCCCCTGTCATTCTTGATGGGAAATTGGCTACTGAGTTAAATAATGAAGGTGCAGTGGATGTGAAAGTTTATCAGGCAGCTAATGTTATTGAAAAGCTGACAATCAGCATAGATTCTGAATCTTTCATTTGGCTAGGATAGTTAGAGTTCTTCTCTAAATGAATGCCGTTTGACTGAGAGAAAGAAAACTGGAAACGGTATACAGGTCATTGCTGAGCAGGTAACTACATCTTTAACTTCCACTCTAAAAGCCAAAGGGGATTTTGGTTTAACATCTTATCCAAGTAAAGCAATCACATGCTGCACAGCAGCATGTGAATGGCTATGAGCCATTTGTTGATGTGGGGCCCAAAAACCACACCCAAGAAGATGAGTTTAACCATGGAAACTCATGAGCCTGGTTCCCTCATATTGATCAGCAGAAACAGCACATGGCATTATTTCAATTACAGTTAACAATGAAGCTGCCTTTACTTTTCTATATACTACATAATTCAAGAGTGTTTTGTTTGTCCTTGCTGTAATCCCTGACACAAGTATTAACTGTTTGATTTATCTTTCAAATTAAATACTATAAACAAAAAAGGTGTAGTCCATTTTCAATGCACATGCTTAATCATAATTATCATAAAAGATAGAGATGGATAGATGTAAAGATTTAAGTTAGAAGGGCCTTATGCAGCTACTAAAAATGATTAGAACAAACTTTAATTAATTATCTCTCACAATGCACCCACAGCAGCTGCACCTCGGTATTGAAGAGTAATTATTACCACAGAGAATTCAAAGCCCCAAACCAGGTCTGCCCTTTATAAAATAGTATCCTGCTCAACTCCTTCAGCTTAACCAGTACCGATGTGCAAGCATAACAATATTCAGCTACAAACCTGACTAAAAAACTAATCTGTTATGTCAGGAAAGGGCAGCAAGACCCAAAATGAGGAATTTCTACCAAGAATATCCTACTGCTTAGTTGGAAAATAAAATCCAATGAACTGACGAAGCAGCCCTCATCTTCTGTGGTGAGAAACAGGAAACAAAGTGATCACTTAAATAACTGTGTCCAGTGCCATCTACAGCATGAAAGACCACTCATATTTTATAGCCAATGACATATCCTATAGAGAACAGCACATTAATAATAATAACATTTTGCCTGCCTAAAGTTCAGGGGCCCAAAACACATATCAGTTAACACACACTTTTATTAACTGAGATTCATGAATAGGAACAAGACAAACCCATATGGCATAGTCAGATCAGCTACAATACTACAATGGTTACTAAATTTGAATTACTTAACATAACAAAAACTGGGATATCAAAAATTGTGGAAGCTGTTTTGATCATGACATGGTTCCTTTCTGCAGCCCCTGATTCCTTCAGCATCTTCTCCTCTCCACCTCTCTCTCCTCTTCCTCACACATCGCCCAGTCACCTTCTCTTCCCTCAGACAAGACCCTTAGAATCATAGAAAATTAGAATTCAAAAGGGACCTCAGGAGGTCATCTAGTCCAACCCCCTGCTCAAAACAGGGCCATCCCTTACTAAATCACTCCAGCCAAGGCTTTGTCTACCTGTGTCTTAAAAACCTCCAAGGATGGAGAGTTCACTATCTGTCTAGGTAACTTGTTCCAGTGTTTTACTACCCTTCTACTAAGAAAGTTTTTCCTGATATCTAACCTAAACTTCCCTGGCAGCAGCTTGAGATCATCACTCCTTCTTCTGTCATCTGCCACCACTGGGAACAATCTAGCTCCATCCTCTTTGGAACCAACCTTCAGGTAGTTGAAGGCTGTTATTAAATGCCTTCTCAGTCTTCTCTTCTCCAGACTAAATAAGACCAGTTTCCTCAACCTCTCCACATATGTCATGTGCCCCCAGTCCCCTAACCATTTTTGTTGTCTCCTGCTGGACTCTCTCCAATTTGTCTGCATCCTTTCTGTAGTGGGAGCTCAAAACTGAACATAGTACTCCAGATGTGGCCTCACCAGTGCTGAATAGAGGGGAAGAATTACTTCCCTTGATCTGCTGGCAGTGCTCCTACTAATACAGCCCAGTATGCCGCTAGTGTTCTTTGCAACAAGGGCACGTTGTTGGCTCATATTCAGCTTATTGTCCAGTGTAACCCCCTGGTCCTTTTCTGCAGAGCTGCTGCTTAGCCAGTCGGCCCCCAGCCTGTATCAGTACATGGGATTGTTCAATCTTAAGTGCAAGACTTTGCACTTCTCTTTATTGAACCTCATGGGATTTCTTTTGGTTCAATCCTCCAACTTGTCTAGGTCTCTCTGCATCTTTGCCCTACCCTTCATCATATCTACTACTCCCCCCAGCTTGGTGTCATCTGCAAACTTGCTAAGGGTGTACTCTATCCCATCTTCTAGGTCACTGATGAAGATATTGAACAAACTTGGACCCAAGACTGACCCCTGTGGTTGTAAAGAAGAGGAGACTCTGATGATACCTACCAAGAGCCAGGAGGAACTGGGAAAAGAGAAGAGAGCTCCCTGTGAGCTGCATTTCTGAAGCAGCTGCTCTGTAACACTAGAGCGTCCCCAGAAGGGGAGAGAGAAAAACAAAGACCTAGATGGAGAATGGGGAGAGGGGCACAAGAAACTTCAGGGGGAAGCCACACATCTAGGGACCCAGGAAGAAGGAGGGGGACAGCCACAGCGGCGGCAAGCCAGCAGCCATCTGGCTGAGGAGCTCCGAGAAGCTCCATTAAGCCGGGAGTCACTGGTGGGAGAAGCGCTGCCGAGGGGGCAGTGCTTGAGACAGGACGACTGCCTGGAGAGGAAGGGCTAGCTGGGAAGAGCACAGCTGAGCCCCAACAGAAACAAGTAAAAGTTTTCCTTTCATTTTTTTTTTTCTTTAGGGATCTGCCAAGCCGGTGTCCTGCAATCCGATGAATTAGCGAGTCAGGACACCTGAAGCAGCCTGCCGGGTTTAAAGGGGAAGGACACTCTGCTTGATTGGACTTACACCCTCTGAAGTATAGGGGGAATTTGGTGACTGCAGCCTGGATGGGCTTTATTTAGTTTCATGTGGATTGTTTTCCTTTACATTTATGATTGTAAAAAGGGGCTTTATACCCAGAAAGACTGGATGCTAGACTTACCTGAGTTGACAAGGAAGGCTGTTAGTCAACATAGACTGAAGTCCATCCCTATGATTGTCAAGATGCGTGAGAACCTAAAACACAAAGAAAATAAATTTAATAAATAAAAAAGTAATGAAAAGAAACACCACTGTATAAGAGCCAGGTTAACGAAAGTCAGCTTAACAACTGGGTGGCACTAGGATGGGGTATAGGGGAGGTGGGAGCCACAAGAGAAACTGATCTCAAGATTCCAGTGTCAAGTGGAGATAAAGAACATCTCCCAATATAGATCTTCTCTCAACATCAAGACGTGGCAGAAGAGAGTTGGGACCACCACTCAGACATCCCCACAAGGGATCACAATACGTACGATCCAGGTCGGGAAGATTTACATTAGTTCTACCCTTAGTTAAATAATCTGATACCCCACAGCAGCACTCCACTTGATACCAGCTGCCAACTAGAAATTGAGCCATTAAGTCCTACCCCGAGCCTGATGATCCAAACAGTTTTCTGTCCACCTTACAGTCCATTCATTCAACCAACCTGTCCTTCCTTAGCTTGCCTGAGAGAATGCTGTGGGAGACCATATCAAAAACCTTGCTAACGATATTGGTATCCACTGGTCTCCCTGCATCCACAGAGCCAGTCATCCTATAGAAGGCAATCAGGTTGGTCAGGCATGACTTGCCCTTGGTGAATCCATGTGACGGTTCCTAATCACCTTCTCCTCCAAGTGCTTAGAAATGGATTCCTTGAAGATCTGTTCCGTTTTTCCAAGAAATGAGGTGAGACTGACTAGTCTGTAGCTCCCTGGATCCTCCTCCTCCCTTTTCTTAAAGATGTGCACTATATCTGCCTGTATCCAATCATCCAGGACCTCTCCTGATTGTCATGAGTTTTCAAAGATAATGGCCAGTGGCTCTGCAATCACATCAACCAACTACCTTAGTACCCTTGGGTGCATCCCATCCAGCCCTATGAACTTGTACACATTCAGCTTTTCTAAATAGTCCCTGACCTGTTTTTTTGGCTGCTCACCTCCTCACCAAACTGTGCTACTGGGTGCTGTAGTCTGGGAGCCTACCTTGCCTGTGAAGACTGAGGTGAAGAAGGCATTGAGTTCTTCGGCCTTTTCTGTATCCTGTCATTAGGATGCCTCCCTTATTTAGTAAGGAACCCACACTTTCTCTGATCCTCCTTTTGTTGCTGATATACCTGTAGAAAACCTTCTTGTTACCCTTCACATCCCTTGTTAGCTGCAACTGCAATTGCACTTTGGCCTTCCTGACTTCATCCCTGCATGCTTGAGCAATACTCTCACACTCCTCCCTAGCTGTTTGTCCAAGTTTCCACTTACTATATGCTTTCTTTTTGTGTTTGATTTCATAGGAAAGTTCCCTGATAAGCTAAGCTGGTCTTCTGCCATACTTGCTAGTCCTTCTGTACATTAGGATGGTTTCATAGTTTCATAGTTTCTAGGGTCGGAAGGGAGATCATCTAGGCCGACCCCCTGCCATGGCAGGAAAGAGTACTGGGGTCAAATGACCCCAGCAAGGTGTACATCTAACCTCCTCTTAAAGACCCCCAGGGTAGGAGCCATCACCACTTCTCTTGGAAGTTGGTTCCAGACCCTAGCCGCCCTGACCGTGAAGTAGCACCTCCTGATATCTAGCTTAAATCTACCCTCTGCCAGCTTGTGA